TAAGTTTTGACACTAAAGACCTCAAAGCTGTATTTTCGGCCTGTAGAGTTATCGCTAGATATATTAATTTTTCTTCATTCTCTTTCTTTTTTGTTCTACTTCTTTCGGCTTTTTTTAGATTAATGTAATCAAATCAAATTAAATAAAATTTTTAAAAAAATAATTTGTTATAATTAATAAATATGATAAAATAAATTATATTCACCAGCTATTTGATTAAATCTCCTTCTCCTTTTTAAAGGGGTTTCTCCGTCAATGCATTCATATCGTGAACTTTTTTGTGTCACCAATAAACTCATCTTTGGAAGAATTTTCTTTCTCGCGTTTTCGTCATTTTCGTCGATGGCACTACAACTATTATCATCATCACCATCATCATAATTACTATCATCATTATTATTGTTGTTGTAATTTTGATTATTATTACTATTATTATCATTTATGTTTTTGATTGAATTTTCATCCATGTAGGTAAAATTGACATCATACAATATGATTTCAGTTCTGCTAGTTAATGTATCACTATCAATATATGAAAATTTTTCGTCAAATAATATTTGCTCTGGTGTAATAACGAGAAGTTCTAATATCATACATTATCGAAATATTATATAAACTGTTATCAATATGTTATTAAAATATTATATATATAGTATTATATAAAAATCATAAATGGAATGAAAATATTATAAACTTTATAAAATATTATAAAATATTATAGAAAGAAATAAGTATAGCACATGGTAGTAATAATAATACCTTGAGAAGATCCGATTTGAACATTATTCATTTTTTACTTGATGATAACTTTAAAAATAATAATTTATTTATAAATACAATTATTCAAGATTTCTTGTTAAGTTAGAAAATTGGTCAATCGATGTTTTTTTTATCAAAAGTAATCAAAGTTACCAAATGAACGTGAAAATTCCCAAAGATATTTTATATAAAATTTACACAGTAATATTGTGTATTTATAACAATGGGAGGGATTTGATAATGATTAAATAATATTTCGTGAAAATGATAAGCTTATCTGTGAAAATATTGTTATCATTATGAATCAAACCATAAACACTAGCAAAAAAAAAGCAATGCGATAAATCTGTGTGCGTGATTTAACTAACAAACTATCGATCAAAAGATTATATAGTTTGCTTTACAAGAATTAAGCTGGTTGAAGACATGCTTGGAAATTTGGTTCATGACTTTTACGATTAAATAAGAGACTAACTTCTATCAAGTCAATGAACAATAAATAAATAAATAATTGAAAACTTTATTATTTTCAAAAACAAAAAATGTATTAATCTTTTCTTTTTTTTTAAAAAAAAAAACCCTGATCATGCATGCAGGTAACTTGTTTACTTTGTAAACATGTAATCCTATTATATGTGCCAACGGTGGATGTTTTAGTACTCCCACGAAGGCATGATTAAAAACATGTATTATACTGTATAATCTTTATATCCTTATCATTTTCAAAAGTATATATCACTCTCGTATATATATATATGTGTGTGTGTGTGTGTGCGAAAAACTTGATTAGCCATAATTGTTAATTGTTATTGAGCTAACAATTTTTTAGTTTATATTATTGAACTCATATCCATATACCGGTTAAATCTGTAAACTCGTATTATTTTGTTAAACTTAAATCAATAATATACAAATTTAACTTTTAACATAACTTAAACAAACAAACCCCTGATTTTTAGCCCTAGAAAAGCTTAGGCACAAGAAATTATCTTAATGGCAGTAAAATTTTTAACTTTAAGTTTAATTAGAAAACAGAAATAATAAAAAAAAAAATGGTATGAAGAAGTTAAATTATTGTAATTCTGATTGCAAATCATTTAAATCAGAGAATAATTGCAATGAATTATCATATTTATTTTTTTTTTTTTTGATTTATAATATAATTTACATTTAACGTTTAATAAAAGCATCACTTTGGAATTTGATATGTACCCGAGGAACAAATCTTATCTATGAAAATCATGTGAACCATAAATGGATAAATGACATATCCAATTTGTCATCATCCTTAAAATGGATACAAATACAGATGTGGAGTAATTTATTTATTAATTATTATATTATTATTGGAGCTATTCTTTCTTTCTCGTCGATCAGTTTTTTTGCATACAAATTATTTTCTTTTACTATTATTATATTAAAATACTAGTTACATATAAATGTAATACATAACACAATAGATCAGTACACAATTGTAATTAATTTATATAGAGTAAACTAAACGTGACATGTTACACACGAATTTTTTTATAATAGTAGTAATAGATTATTTTTTTTATAATAGTAAAATAATAGATAATAATAGATTATTGTTTTATTTATACTATAAATTTATATTTTATAGGTTATATATATTATTCAACGTTTATGAATCTTAATTTATGTAGAATAAGAATTGACAAATTAAAAAATCAAAGTTGCATTATTTTATATCAAAGTTCGATATTTCCATATTTTTTTTGGGGATTATAAAAAAAATTTTTTTTTAGGAAAGTAATTATAATGTTACAATCAAGCAATTTGGCAGCCGTTGCCCAAAAAGTATAAAATCAAAACAATTAATTATTTAATTATTTTCATTGTTTACTATTATATAACATAACAATAACAATAACATAACAATAACATAACAATAACATAACAATATCATTCAGTAGACATGGCCCCCATGAATTCATATTTATTTATATTATTTGTCACACTTTCTCTTGAGCAAACCAATTTGTAAAAAAAGAAATTATTTTTTTTTATTACCAATTTATTATTTTTTTAAAAATAGATTGATATTATAATTTTGTTTTAAAATATATTAGGGAATATATAAAGTAGTCCTGAGTAAATTTGAAATGTCGGGCATGTCCACTTACTGATTTTAACCAAGTTCGGAAATATAATTTCGCAATTCTATTATAATAGTTACAGTATGCTATCTATAAATTTGATCGTTGTATTCCATTAACTGAATACCTAGTAGAAGCATTAATTAGTGTCATCAAGACCTTATCTTTATAGGGAAACGAGAGAACAATATATAAAAGATTGTAATCTATATTATTCACGGAACAAATAAAAAAATATTTTAACTACATTTTACATTACATTACATTTATTCGTTTAATAAATGTAAAGGAAAACCCACAAAGCCATTTCTTATAGATTGGCGTAAAAGTTTTTTGTATCTTTTTTTTATTAAGTAACATGACTAAGAAAAAAATTTATTCAAGTATTTAATGAAAGAATTTTTGTAAAAAATTCCTAAACATTGCCAATTAACCAAAATTGTAGTAATATCCCCGTCACTTTTTTTTGTTTAATAAAGTATCAGTTAGAAGTCTCGAAAGCCATAGATAATAAAATAATTATTTCATAGCTGGAGAAATAACTACTATATAGCCGAGGAAATAACTACTTCATAGTTGGAGAAATAACTACTACATATTTGTGGAAAAAATAAACTTGTGATCTGAATTAATAAAAATAAGTCATATACAGACGTGGGATAAAGATAATTATAATAATAGATAATATAATAATTATTATAATTATATATTATTATATTTAATTTCAAAAATATTGAATAAACAAAAAATTACTGATAATCAATAATAAAGGAGTCTTCAGATAAGAAAATGTCTCCACATTAGATCTGGTCAAGAACCAAGTACAGACCTGAGAAGCCCCTCGGAACTTGTCAATAACACCAGTGATTTAGATGGAAAGACATAAATGGTCACCTTGGAATGTTCAATCAAATGTCAAATTTTATATACAGCGGTGATTATTTGTAATGCAACACAATTTCAATTTTAAAAAAGTATTTTTTTTTTTTTTTTGCAAAACTTGTTAAATATCATTTGTCAACAGTTATAGTTTTAAAATAATTAAAAAAATGTCATTGCATTATTTATTTTTCATATTGAACAAGATTCAAATAATTCCATGCATTTGAATTAATGTATTTAAAAGTATTATCTACTGTATTGTTGACTGTAATTCATCTTTACTAAAGCATGATAACAGACAACTAATAACAGGAAAACTAATATATAAAAGAACACAAAGTAGTTACATATATGAATGTATTAAAGTTGAAAGGTTTATACTATTAGACAAGTATTAGAGGTAAAAGATTTGATATTGTGGATTTTTATTTGAAAAAGGCAGGTGTGAGGTTTTATAAATATAACTTATCATTGAGAGTTATAATACTAACTAATAAACTAACTATCCTTAACCTTATTTATTAAGAAAAATAAATTCACTAAGAAATACACTCAGAACACAAAACAAAGTGTAACAAAATATATACTCTGGTTACAAAGCAGAGTATAACAAAATATATACTCTGGTCACAAAGCAGAATAATAATTATGAAGAATATATGCCAAGATCACAAAACAAGGCAATCACAAAAAGGAAAATTTACTAAAAGTATAAATTATAATTGTCACAAAAGTTTTAATAATTTATTACAATTAGGTGTTCAAAATTGAACTAAAGATTGATCTCAATTGAACTGAACTCCTCAAAGGTGGGGGGGGGGGGAACCCAGCCTTTATATACATCATAATCTTTGAAATAAGGATCATCAGTATTACAGATTTACATTAGATCATATATTATTATTTTCATAAACTATTTAGAGTAATAAATTATAATTTGTATAATATAACTAAAAAACTTCGTTACAATTATTTTAATGATTTTATTATTGATAATCAAAATGTGACTTCTATTTTAAGCACCGATCAATTTTTTTTTAAACAATTATTATTTTTTTAAAAAAAAAACTTATATATAATAAATATCGTTCGTCTTTTTACTCAAGATCCTTATTAATTTCAAGTTGTTAAAAGTTAATAACAATTAAAGTATATGTAAAAAAATATGCTTGTTAAATTTTATTTAATATACGAAAACAGTTTATACACTAATTTTATTTAATACAAATAAAATATTGTTTATATATTATTTCCTTTATTTTTATTATTTCTCCAATACATTTTAACACGTTGAATATTCCATCCTTGTGGTAATTTGTTCAAAACTTCATTAATTTCATTTTCTGAAGGTATTTTTTCCTTTTGTAGTAAGTACTTTAAAATTTCTTTTTCTTCTTCAGTCGTTACAACTCTATGCCGTTTTAATTGAGGTTGGCTTCTAACATTTTCTAATTCAGTATATTTTCTCTTCGGGTCAATGTTTGAAACTAATTGAGAATCTTTGTCATTAGTATGTAGCACCTGGAACTATTACTATTATCTTCTGGTGTAGTTTTTTTCTTGATTTTTTGTTTTTTGATAAATCAGAGACTTTAGTCTTCATCACTGATAACTTTCTTCTTCCTTTAGTATTAATTACTTCAGTTTTTATTACTTCTTGTCGGTAAATTTCTTTTATCCTCCTCAATCCATCCTCATAGGCTTGATTTATTTTTATTAATCCATCTTGATTTAATTGGGGTGGAGAATTCTTAAAAGATTATGATCGAGAGCATTATCCATCTCAAATGCTTCAATTTCCATAATGGATCAATACGATTATTAGTATTTCGATTTTTCTGATGATATGTGTAAGCATCTAAAAATTCATTTAATAATATTTCTATTCGTTGTCTTTCTTCTTGGATTGCTTTAATTTGTAATTCTAAATTTTCTTGATTACATGAATTTCCTGTGATATTTTGTTTGATATAGGCAACACTATGAATCTCTAAGGCCTCATCATAGGCAGGATAATGCCCTTCTCTTGCTAAATTTATAGAAGCGCAATGGTGAAGTTTTTGTTCTAGTTTTGGATATTTTTCTAAAATAGAAAGGAAATGTGTAACAGAGGTAGTATAATTATTTTTTCCTGCTACAGGAAAAAGCTGAGCAAAAGCAGCTAATCCAAATTTCTGTAATTCATAATTTCCACAACGTATTCCAGTAAGATGAATTTTCCAAATTGTAAACCATTTATAATATAAATACCAGATTCTTAAACAAATTTTTTCATTTGTGGGGCTAGATTCTTCAATTTTGAGATTTGTTTTTTTTTTGCATATATATATATGAATAGCTATTCCAACTGCAATCCATATTAATTCCAAAACTCTTCTTGTAGATCGATAATCAACAATAGCTGACAATTTATCTAAAAATTTTACACCTAAAGCTATAGTTAAATCGTAGATTCCATAACTTGAAAATAAAGTAAGAAGTACACTCATCATATCTTTGGATGTGTGCCATTGACCAAGAATAGGTCGTATATTTTCTGATTTGTTACGACATTTAATTAATCTTCTAAATAGCATCTCATCACCACTAATATCTATAAAGTCATTTTCATTTAATGAAAAATCTTTTTTATACATTTCTGCAGCTCTTAAAATCTCATCATCATTATTTGGTGATCCACTTGGTTCCAATATGATTACATTCGGAGATGGAAGCTTACAACCAAAACTTATTTGTTTTAATATTTCTAAATCTATTGCTTCAAGATCAAAATCTTTATTATATTCTAATTCTCCTTTTTCATTGAAGTAGAATGCTAATAAATTTTCAAATACTTTATTTATTTTACAAATAGTATCATTTATTACTTGAGACATTCCAAAGAGTTGTGTATTAACATTTAATTCACAAAGTGGTTCAGGTTTTTAATTAATAATCTCAGGTAATGTAAATTGAAATGCCATCCTTAGTGTAGCATGTGATGTACCTCGGGTTACATAATAGATATTTCCAAATTGAAAACTTTTTTCTTTAAAATCTATATTATCAATCACTGCTGAATTAAAGATATTCATTTCACTTAATAGGCGTTTTGATGGATCTGCATTTATCATTCTTGTTTTTTCTAATCTTCGCTCATGTCTATTGGTATGTCCAATAATATAACATTTGGTCAAAAGATCTTGTAATGAGGATACCAATTTTGGTCGTCGACATAGTGATGCTAATACACTTGGTAACCATAAATTTGAATATGGAAATGTAAAATTAACTAGAGTTGAAACCAATAAAGAAAGAAGCTTGTTGATATTTTGTGAATCAACTTTTTTTAATGGTTTGTTATACGTATGTTTTCTATTTGATTCTTTAATTTTGTTTTCCAATATTAATGTAAGCATTGATTCAAAAAAAATTATTAGAAACCTCGGAAATGCATTAATATAACTATCAAGACTTTCAGGATTTTGTAAAATATTTTTTTATTTTTTTAAGGTATTTGGATGATTTCCATAATTCTTGTCCTATTTTTTGTCCAATTTCTTTATATTCTTTTTCATTCAATTCTTTTTCTTGAAAATTGGGAATTTGTTTTATTTTCATTATCGTCTTTAATATAAAATAGCTTGGAATATTATAATTATATTGAGATATATTTGTAGTAGGTTGAAATGTTGTAGATTTATTAGATGAATTAAAGAGTAGGGTAATTTGAGGTAAAATTTTCGATAGAATATTTTTTATATTTTTTTTGATATTCAAAATTTTCTTACTTCGCAATATTTAAAAACCATTGTGCTAATAATTTAAAAGTTTTTTTGATATCTTCTTTATGATATCCTTTTTCAATACATGATGACATCTTTCGTCCTCTTTCTGGTTTAATATGAAGATGTCCTCCTTCACGCTCATAACAATTGCAACACACATATCGAAAACCATTAGTTTCATTTGAACGTTCACATATAGAATTATATGGTTCTAGTGTATTACAAGTAAATTGACCGTTGCAAACAACTTGAATATTTTTTTTCAATTATCTTCCATGAGTGTTTTTCAAATCTCAAACCTCGTGTAAAAAAATAAAAAAGTTTTCCACAAAATAAACACTTTTTTCGATGAATTATACTTTGATTTGTATCTTTTGTTTTTTTTAAAACCTGGATCATAAAGATTTTTTGATTATGATTAAAATGATAACTACAAACACCCAATTGTTCTAATACACCATCAGCTTCAATAATACTTTCTTCATCTATTTGCCATACCCCACAAAGTTGCCATAATTTTCGAAAACTTTTTAAATTTTCACATCTTTTAATACATCCATCTATTTTATCAACAATGACACAACGGATTAAGGTCTTAGATTCTTTTTGTTCAATAATTATATCTTCTAAATCTACTTCCAACATTAAGTCATCATTATTATCAAAAGATATATTGTCTGTTTCACTAGTATCCTCATTATATAATTTTTCAATTATTTTTTTTTAAATAATTCTCATCCAAATCAAAATTAATTGATTCATCATTTTCAGTTTCATCATTATTACAATTTTCATATTCTATAGGTAATAAAGTATTTTGAGTATATTGATATCAGATATATAAAATAAAATAAGTTTTATAACTTTTTTTGTAAAAAAAAATCTGTTTTTGAAGTATAATAATTGAAATTTTATAAAAAAAATATAATATTACACCAACTTCTTCGCCAAGATCCTTTTGAATAAGAAAACTTTTACTAATATAATAGGTACGTATAAGAAAAAAATGTCAAATAAATCCTTAGTCATTAATATTTGGTTAGTTAATTATGAGATAAAATTTATAGTAAATTATGGTTACACACAGTGTCGATCACTATTTGATCAATAGTCCAGTGATTGATAATAAATAATATAGATAATATGTAGAATAATAATAAGAAAAGAAAATATTAAAATAACTGGATAACAGTATATAATTTATATTATTTATAAAATTTATAAATTTATATAATATTTATAAGTAGACAAAATACATGATTAGTATCACAAAATTTATGTTTAATTTAAAGAATATGTAATTTATAATTTAATTAATTATATTCTCAGGTTTCTGAACAAAATTTTCAGTGAAAATAAAGAACGATATATATATATATTATGTACTATTCTATTCTATTAGAATCATTATATTGAATATTTCAAATTGAAATTAGATATTATTTATCATAGTATTTAATGTCTTATCGCTATAAAATGTAATGTTATTGATAACAACTTTACAAATAACTGGATAACAAAACTTAATAACTTTTAAAAGAGAGTCAATTAATTGATAATTCGCCCACTCAATCTTAATAATCTAAAAATATATACTTCATATGTATTAGTATATATCTATGAAACTTCGGAATTTTTAATTCTAATATTTTATTTAATGTTGAAAATGAAAAAAAAAAAGAAATTTTCGTAAATACAAACAATTTTATAAAATTTAAAACTTTAAATCTTAATAATTTGTAAAATATTCCTTATTTTTTGAATTAAAAGTGTTATCTTTTATTAAAAAAAAAAAAAAATACTGACGGAATTTTGCTAAAATTTTGGTTAATTAGGAATTTTTTATAAAAAATTTTTTATTGTAAAAATATATTTGATATTTAAATAAAAAACTCCTAATCTCAAGTAGAAATTTCAGACTTTACTTTTGCCATACCGGTTTTATCAATCATTTTGTCTTACTATTGCTAAGTGGACTAATTCATTAAGATTAGATATAGTCAAGATTTTTTTTTTTTTACGCCAGTCCATAAAGAAATGGCTTCTTTTACATTTATAAAATAAATAAATGTAACGTAATGTAAAATGTATGATACACTTTTTATTTTTTTTTGGTGAATAACTTTCTATTTATTGTTCTCTCGTTTCTTTTATTTCCCTATAACAATAAAGATTAAGGTTCAGATGATTATATTTAACTGTTCTTTTGATACTTCTACTTAGCATTCAATTTATATTCTTGAATAAATTTTTCAATATAAGAAAACTTGATTAAAATTAGTAAATGCATGTCCGACATTGCAAATTTACTCAGGACTACTTTATGTAATCACAAATCAAATTTCCGCAATATGTTTTAAAACAAAATTATAATATCTAGTAATAAAAAAAATAATTTCTTTTTTACAAAATTGGTTTGCTTCAATAATTGAATAAATATACAAGAGAAAGTGACAAAACGTATAATTTAAAAAAGTCAAAAAAATTATTTTAAATTAAAGTTATAGTTAATATATAACTTATGTCATGTCTACTGAATGATATGAATATACAGTATGTTATGATATTTTTATGTTATTACATAATGATAAACAATGAAAAATAATAAGCATCCCAATTAATTGTTATTTCATTTGATTTGAGCGCGTCTGCCAAATTGCCAAATTGCCAAATTACCAATGATGGTAAGTACCATTATAATTACTTTTCTTATCTACAATTATTGTTTTTTTTTATAACCATAACCCCCCAAATAATAAAGCGATATCAAACTCTAATATAAAAATAATAATGCAACTTCTTCGTATCAGTCGCATAAATTAAGATTGATAAATGTTGTATAATATATATAACATATAAATTTATAAATTTATAGCATAAAGAAACAATAATATTTTAATATATTAATAATAAATAATAGAATGGAGAGAGAATTTAATGTTCGTATATAAAGCAATTATTACTTTCAATACCTTTCGAGTTTGTATGGAAAAAAACTGATCGATGAGAAAGAAGCATCACAAATGATGAAATCAGTAATAACACCAATTATTCCACATTTGTATTTTATGTTTAAGGATGATGACAAATTGGCATATGTTATTTATTTATTTCATAGTTCACATGATTTTCATAGATTATTTGAACTTCGGTGCATTCATATCAAAAAGATCATTAATTTCTTTAATTCATTATACATAATTTTTTTTTTCATAAAACGAACTTATGTAAAAGTGTGATGCTTTTTATTAAACTTTAAATGTAAATTATCAATCAAAAAAAAAAATTGAATGGAATAATGCAATAATTCATTGCAGATCATTGCGGATCATTCTCTTTCTATAAGTAATTTTAGCTTTTTCACACCGTTTATTATTTTCTAATTAAACTTAAAGTTAAAATTTATTGCTATCAAGATATTTGCGTGTGCCTAAGCTCTTCTAGGGTTAAAATCCTTTTTTTTTTTTTTTACACTTTCAACTATTCCATCTTTAGGATTTTTGTTTGTCTGAGTTATGTTAAAAAAGTTAAACTTGTACATTTTTTGATTAAAGTTTAACAAAATAATGCGAGTTACAAATTTAACCGTTATATGGATATGAGTTTAATTATATATATGAGTAGTTAAAAAAGTTTATATCATCACATAATATGAACTTAAACTAAGAATTGAACAATTGACAATTATGGCTAATAAAATTTTTCGCTCATATATACGAGAATGTATATAGTTTTGAAAATGATAAGGATATAAAGATTATATAATACATGTTTTTAATCATGAGTATTAAAAACATCCACCGTTGGCTGCACTTAGAGATAATACACTACTATAGATGAGTGAGTAGATAGCACATATATTAGGATAACATGTTTACTTTGTAAACAAGTTACCTGCATGGTCAGACTTTTTTTTTAAAAAAAAAAAGATTATATAATCCATTTTTTTTGTAAATAATAAAATTTTCAATTGTTTATTTATTGTTTATTGACTTGACAGAAGTTAGTCTGATATTTAATCGTAAAAGGCATGAACCAAATTTCAAAACACGTTTTCAACCAGCTTCATTCTTGTAACGCAAACTATATAATCTTTTATAGTTTGTTTCATAATGGTAACAATATACTTATCATTTTCACGAAATATTATTTAATCATCATCAAATGCGAAGACTTACTCCTAATGTTATAAATAAACAATAACAATTTATAAATTTATATAAAATATCTTTGGGTATTTTTCACTTTCATTTGGTAACTTTTATTAACTTTGATAATAAGCTAGCGAGAATCTTGAATAATTATATTTATAAAATTATTTTATCATTATTATTGAAGTTATCATCAATTAAAAATGAATAATGTTCAAATCGAATCTTCTCAAGGTATTATTGTTAATGTGCCATATTTATTTCTTTCTATAATATTTTATAATGTTTTATAATACTTTTATTTCATTTTATGATATTTTATATAATATTATATATATATAATTTTGATAATATAATATTTCGATAATATATGATATTAGAACTTTCCATTGTTACACCTGAGGAGATATTATTTGACGAAAAATTTTCGTATATCGATAATGATACGTTAACTATCAGAACTGAAATAACATTGTACGATGATGCCAATTTTATCTACATGGACGAAAATTCAATAAAAAACATATTTAATAATAATAATAACCACACTTCTAATAACAATAATAATGATCATTATAATGATAACGATGATGATAATAGTTGTAGTTTCATTGGCGAAAATGATGAAAGCGATGAGAAAGAAAATCCTTCCATAGAGAGTTTATTAGTGACACGAAAAAGATCACGATATGAATGCATTGACGGGGAAACTCCTTTAAAAAGGAGGAGGAGACTTAATAAAATGGCTGGTGAATATTTTTTATTTTACAATATTCATTAATTATAACGAATTAATTTTTATTTTATTTTATTTTAATTACATTAATCAAAAAAAAGCTGAAAGAAGTAGAGCAAAAAAGAAAGAAAACGAAGAAAAATTAATATATCTAGCGATAACTCTACAGGCTGAAAATACAGCTTTGAGGTCTTTAGTGTCGAAACTCAAAGAAGATTTATTGCTTCTACGATCGTAACGTAAAAAAAAAAAAAAAAAAAAAAAATTTTAATATCAGATATTTTTGTTATAATTAGTTTTTAAAATTTAATTCGTTTCATATCGTTGTTCTAATTTTATAAGACGAATATCTTTTTTCCTTTTATTATAATAATCATCTACCGTAAAAGTATTCATTTTCTTCAAAAAAAAAAATATAGTTTATCTCTTTTATTTGCGAATTCATGAAAGAACTTGTATCTTTTTTTATGTTACTCGGATTTTTTAATATGTTTAGATAATTGAAATATCAATTTTACATATCAAATATTATAATAAACAACTAGCCATTATTATTATTTTTTTTTTTAGAATAATCACTCCACTGTCATTTAGAATATACATCAGTGTTTGAAATTCAAAACTTAAATCCTGTACGGAATATATACAATTTAGAATTCTATATACAAAAATTTGTGTGGATGCCTTTTTTTATGTGCAGAGTTTTCAAATTTTATGCTAGCACACATTCCGCGCATTGAATTTCAAACACGTTGTATTACAGTGTGATTGTGTGATTAGTTATTTTAATAATTATTAAAAATAAATCGGAGTGTATTTTTTATTTTATTTTTTTTTATAATATATTGTTGTTGTTTAATGAAATAGATTTGGATAGGATCTAGAAATATTTTCTAATCTTTAGTACAAAGAGATGAAAACCAGAGATAAAGAAGTCATTCTATTGATTAGCATTGGTCATATCATATCATACACATGATTACATATTTTATATCTTATCACAACCAATCAATGAAAGAAATTCTGTCTTCATCTATAATTATTTCATGTCTTACGACAAATCCCAACTTAAAAATCTTTCAATCAAATTACTAAATAAAGATTAATAATGTATTAAATTAAGATTAAATGTAAATATAATTATAGTCGATGTTATATATTATATGTATAATCATAGTATTTAGTATTCCCATCTCTCATCTATGATTACATTTTGTATGTCCTAAAATCAATTTGTAAAATTGTTATCATATGAATTAGAAACATTACAAATTGAAAAAATTATTATATAAAAACAAAATTTGATATAATAATGGTATATAATTTTTTATTATAAATTATGTTATATATGATCCTGTGCAAAAGATTGTACCTCAAACCAAATTTTTTTTTTTTATTAAGTAGCCTGTTTTAAAAAAAATTTAAACTATATCATTACATGATCGAAATACAAAAATATAAATTTATTATCATCATCAAAGTTGTCTGTAATAATCACCAAATTCTTCTTCAATTAATTGTACCTCTTCATCATGCTTCAAATATTCTTTTGTATTTTTAAGTGCTTTTTCCAAAACCCAATTATAACTTGCGAAGTAATTTTTTTTAAATAATCTAACAATTTATTTCTAATATATAAAGATCTGGATGTGGACCTGATCTTGCAACTTCACCTTTGATCAGCTAAAGTTCACAATAATTAGGAGAGGTAAAAAATTTTTTGATTAATATATTTTTTTCGAGGTACAATAAAATAAAAAAATTTCAACTCTAAATTGAAAAATTATTAGGCTTCTAATATAAAAACATTAATTTTTTTTAAACAAAAAATTAGTTACTATCTTATGAAAACTTAATAAAAATTAGTAGAACAGTAGTGGGAGTTCTGAGGGGAGAAGAAGAAATATATAAAATTGACGCAGCAGATTAAGTAAATCAAATTTTTGAAGTAGATTGTCTTTGTTGTTATTATAATGATTTTTTTTTTTTACTTTCTTTTTGAACCTGTTCAACTAACTATTAATTGATCTGCTACTCGATTTTACATTTTTTTATCTAAAAAATTATTAGATATTAAATATTTTATGTTAATTATATTACTTACTCCTCAATTAATAGGAAAATAGGGTATTAGGTGGTAAATTAATACAAGAACATTTATTATCAATAATAATACCCACATTTAAGAAATAAGATAATCATAATAATTATAAATGTCATTAGATGTAATGTCACTATTAGAAAAATTCCTGTAATGATTATTGGTGGTGGTGGTGATGGTTAAATAAAAAAAAATTATAAGAATTATTAATAATTGTGATAATAACGATAAATATAATTAATAATTTCACAAACGATCGGGGTCAAATAAAGAGTAATTTTACAGCTAAGATTATTTTTACCTTTACAATTTTTAAATATTTATCAAATCAATTATAAATACATTATGCAACATTAAAACATTTCATAATAAATAAGATTTATATACTGAAAAAAAAAATAAATAAATAATTCTAACATAACAACAATTTTTCTAACCTTTTTCTTTTCTGTAATAATTGTAATAATTATAAATATAAAATGCAATAATTAGCAAGATTTGTATCAATAATTTCACGAAATCATTAATCACTCAACAAAGATCAGTAAAACAGTAAAATGATTGTTTAATTTTATTTAAGATTTTTTGATTCAAATTCTTCGGTTTTACTATGGCAGTTTCTTCTAGAGAAGAGATTATATATAAAATTAGAAATTAAATTTTAAATTATTAAATAAAATGATTATCATACAAAGATATGGTAAGTAAATTTTTTTTTTATCATGGTCCGAATAGAATAAATATTTTGATCAACAGAAAAACAATACAATATAACCACTAGAAATCATTTAATATTTAAATATAGAAAATATAGATTTTATTAAATAAACCGGCGATCTAATTATATACAAATAAATCATCGATTCTTAATAAATCCACTCATTCATGGATATTCCATGAGTGTTAGTTTCTCACTCAAGGTATAAACAAACCTTCACATGGCACTTCTAACTCTTAAAAATGGTAGATACGATTTTGTGATAATTTATGATAAAAAAAAAGAATAAAACTTTCCTTTTCAATGAGATATTTCTGAATACTAGTTCTAACGTATAATGATAATCAATTCTATAGTTGGTGGATGATCACGATTGCATTTTTAATTTGTACTCCAAGTCATATTGATGCAGCACCCTGTCACTATGTTTTAGACTCCCAGAGTTCCTTGGGATAGGGACATCGATTTTCCTTTTTAATATAATTACGTAATTCGTTTGAAAGTTTGGAAAATCATTACAATTATATTTTCATTTTTGTTTTTAATCTTTATTCATTATATTGTTAGGTTCTTGGTACGTTGATCGACAAACATTTTCATGTGATTTAAATTAATAATTCTGCTTTTTTTATCTTCTTAATCAATATAAAGCATAAAATGAATTGTAATTAACATCACCTCACTAATGAATTTGTTCTCACCCTCATCATCATTTCCTTCTTCCAATAAAATTATTGATAAAATATTATTTAACCAGTATTTCAAAAGAATTTGGCATAGAGAAAAAATCAATGATAACGAGATTATCATCATCAACTTTTACTCACCACAAAAAATAAATAAAAATTAAAAATACTTGTAACTTTAGATTTTGACTAAGAACCACCTTTCTAGTTAAAAAAAAATATTCCTTACAAAATTTTACATCCAAATTCTATTTTATTCATAATTTTAACCTTAAACCCTAACTAATATAAATTATTGCCAGTGTTTGACACCTGTGGTACAGTATTGGAAAATGACCTCAAATGACCTTTGAAATGACCTTATCACATGATGATTTTACTATATACTAAATGATCTAGGTCATTTGAAAAAATATCAAATGACCTTGGAATTTGCCAACACTGCAGTGGTAAGTTTAAAATTTTCAAAATAATATAATAAAATTTAATAATAAATTAAAGAGAATAATAAATAATTTCTTAATAATTTGTGATGTTTTTGGAAAGAAATAAAGAGAGAATAATAAAAATAATTTATAAACTATTTGCATAATAATAATGATAACATATTTGAGGGGAAGCATACTTTCCTTCTTGTGATATAAATAATATAAATTATATTTCGCTTTCTTATACTGAAAAAAGTGTTACCCAATAGCAGTAATTAATGATTATTATAGCACGGGAACTCATATATATATGTTATGTGGTGATGGAATAAAGGAGAAAGAATTTTATACAATTCTATCTTATCTCACATGGTGAATTATATATATATGATATAGTAGCATTTATAATAATTTCGGAATATAATTATTGAAAAAATTCGAATCACCATAGAAGAGTCCTAACAATAACAATAATGATAATAATAAGCTGTTAAGAAGACGAAGAAGTTGTAGCAGCTACAAGTATTTCAAATGCCTAAAGTTTGTTAGCAGTTGAGAATGGTAAAAAAAGTTAACAAATTAATCGTTTTAAAGTCTTCGTATTTACAAAATGTATTCGAATATATCTATATGATGTATATTTTATCTATATGGGTATATTTTTATATTTATTATTCTTATTTGTTGACTGCCGATGTTGAAATCATATGTCATAGTGAAATAGAAGATGACTAATAGGGTGGCAAAGAAAGAAGAAATCCTGGTACCATCATTCAAGGTGTGAAATGGGAAGAGGTAATGAAGCTCAAATAATAATGAAGGAAGAGGAAAAACAAGTATCAGCACTCAAGGTTTGGAATGTAGAAGAAGATGTTGGTAATAGCGGAAGCGGTGAAGATGGCGAAGTAGAGGTTTGTATTCTGATGCCGCGTATGCAAAACATAGAAGAAAAATTAGAAACTATGAGAAGTAGAATGTGAGGAGTGCAAGAAAAAGGATAATAATCCTGTAAAGGCAGTCCAAAACGAATGATGATGATTATAATATGCATTCATAAAAAGCATTCGGTTATTGAAAATTGTTTCATAATTTTTTATTATAAGTTTCGTGTATTGTTAATTTTAATATATTTTTCAAAATCAAATACAAATAGTTAATATGGCAAAAATAATAATGAAATTGATAGATGAATTAATTCATTACTTAACATTATAGGCATTATACACTCACTGGTAAAAAGTATAGAGACACCTGACAATTTTTAAAAATAAATCATTTTAGTTATTCTATATAAAA